TGGGGGGGGGGGTGGGGGGGGGGGGGGGGGGGGGCGATGGTGCTGACCAAAACTCACATGGTAGAAATTACATGGGTTTGGCAGCAGAGTTTGGGTGTGGATGCTGTGTGTTTGTAACAACGTGTCATTAAAACACTTGAGAGCGAGGAGATGTGGTCCAACCTCTGGTCCGACATCTCCGGCTGCATCACTGTTGAACCTTAACATCAGAGAATGAAACCAGACGTCGTGACGGTGCTCAAATGCTGGCCCCGGGTTTGTCTGATGTGGAGTGAGTTGTTCTCCCTCTGTGGAAAATCACGGCAGGTACAGAGCTGGTCACATGACCAGGGTGGATATTGATGGTCCATGTCAGGGACGCAGCTCTGAAGTCCCAGTGCTGCCCCCCCCCCCCCCCCACCCCCCCTCCAACATTCCCACGTCTTACTCATCCTGGGATAAATGGCTTTAATGGTGGAGGGTGTGAAGTTCCCGGAGGACACGGTGGTCTCCAGTCCCTCCAGTCTGTGAGAGGCGGCGTCCGTCTTGCTGGTGCTGCATTCTAGGAAAGGGATTCCGATTTTCTTCACCTGTCCGTCTCTGGTGACGAGGCAGGGCCGGCACAGCAGCCTGAGGATGGCCTTCCTCATGTCCTTGCTGGTCAGGGTGTAGATGATGGGGTTGAGTAAGGAGTTGAACATGGCGATGCCCAGGAAGTAGTCGGCCTTGAAGAGCACCTGGCAGCTCCTGGCTGGACAGAAGAAGTCCAGCAGCAGGAGGATGAAGAGGGGCAGCCAGCAGGCGATGAAGACGCCCAGGACTATGGTGACCGTCTTCAGCAGAGCCAAGTACTTCTGGGACTTGCGGTAAAGGCCTTTGCGCTGTGGAACCGAGGCCAGGCGCTTGGTGTTGGACTTGACGATACGGAAGATGCGGACGTACAGCACCACGATGGACATGAGGATGGCGCTGAAGACGGTGATGCAGAAGAGGATGTAACTCTTGGCAAAGAGCGGCAGCACCGTGGAGCACCGGTCCAACTGACCCATGCAGTTCCAGCCGAGCACAGGCAGAACCCCCAGTAATATGGACAGAACCCAGCTGGCTCCAATCAGAGCGAACATCCGCCCCTGCTTGTCACCCTGGTAGGGCTTCATTCTGACCATGGTCACATGACGCTCTATGGCGATGGCCAGCAGACTGATGACGGAGGCTGCCAGCATGATGAACACGCAGCCCTCCCTCAGGAACCACAGCACCGGCGTCAGGTTCAGTGTGTTGGCGCCTGACGTGATGAGGTTCACCATGTAGGTGAAACCCGCCAGCAGGTCGGACAGGGTCAAGTTGCCCAGTAAATAGTACATGGGCAGGTGGAACTTTTTGTTCTTCCAGATTGCCACCAGAACCACCGCATTTTCCAGGACTATGAGCACGCAGACCAGGAGAAAAGCTATGGCCTCGGGTTTCAGACCCTCCTTGTACTTGTTCTCCTTCAGTTTCCCCGTGACGTTGTAGTGCTCGATGATGACCTCGTTGCTCTGGTACTCACGGAATATCCTCAGCAGGTTTCCAGTGGACGGAGACATGGGGACCACAGATGGCGCTACAGCAGCGTAGGCAGCATGGGAAGAATCTGTGGCCATAGTTTACAGTTCCCACAAGCCCTTTTTTCTTCTTTCTTTTTGAACTGAAATCCACAGATAATTGGTCATAAACTCCTCTGGGTGAACATTATTTCTTCTTTCTTCTGAGTTGAAAGCTGCAGCAGAGAGAACCACAGCTGTTCTGGGGAAAGTTTTCTTTTTGAAGCGATCAAATACGATTTCCTGTGGTTTTACAATTCTTCTCCATGAAAAAGTTACATCTGCAGCGCCTGGATAGCTCAGTAGGAGGCGATGGTGAGCAGCCTGTTTAAACAGAGGAAACGTTTGGATTAATGTCAGTGTGAACCGGAGAAAAGTGTTGGTGAAAGTTGAACCTCCACCACAACAAGAAGAGGATCCGAATTTAAACCAAAGTTTCTACTGAAGCTAAAAGTTGTTTTTGGTCCAGTATCATTTTTATGTTTGAGTGATAACCCGTAGAGAAAGCGCAGTAACGGAACTTTAACTGACGGTTCGTCTGCGCTCGGACGTCCGTCGTGCGTAGTGACACCTGACTGAACATCGAATGTTCAAGGCGGATCAATAAACGGTTGGATCCGGTTAAGAAACAGGAACTGCAGGGTGTCGTTAACGTCTGCACACAGGGAGAAGGTCAGGAGTAACGAACAAAGTAACGAAGTCTGGAACGTACGACGAGTTCACACGGTGAGACCGCGATGATACCGACAGAGAAACAGAGAGTTTTGTCTCACCTGTGAAAAAAGTGCAAATCTCCAGAGTCGATGCAGCGGTGAGAGCGGCCGACATGTGAGTGTGTGTGTGAGTGTGTGTGTGATTGAGACGAGGCAGGACCCAACATGCAGAGGGAGGGAGGGAGGGAGGGAGGGAGGCTGCCTCTGCTTCTCCCCTCCTTCTTTTTGCCCTCCCCCCCGAACCGACATCCAGCTCCAGGGAAACAGACTGTGACTGAGATGAGATTCTGTTGAAAAGAAAGTGAAATCCTCACCGTGTCAGTTTGTCCTCAGGTGTGTGTGTGTGTGTGGGACAGTTCATGGACAGGGATCATTGTGACGTCACATCATCGCTACAGCTCACACGTTGATTTTCTGGTTTGTCATAATAATGATGTGGATCTCTCTCTCACACACACACACACACACACACACACACACGGAAACATGAGGAAAAAGTAAAAAACCACAAGTTAATTTACCAGTGGAAAAATAGCCAGTGCCCCCCCCCAGCTCCAGCTCCAGCTCCAGTTCTATAGACCTCATCTGTAATTACCCTAAATATCTGACATCCACAGAAAACACACACACACACACACACATGTTGACCGTCAGTCACCTGACTCCAGATCAATAATCCAGACATTACTGACCACCTGTGGACAAGTAGAAAACTGCGTCTTTAATGTAGTAGAAGTGACAGAACAACTGCAGTATTACGGGGTAGTGTGTACTGAGTGTGTACTGAGTGTGTACTGAGTGTGTACTGAGTGTGTACTGAGTGTGTACTATGCTGGTGTCCTATCACAGCTGTGACTCCAACAAACCAGATCAGTCTGGAGTCAAACGCTGTGGTCAAAGCCGTGGCTCTGCTCTGCTCCGTGTCCTCTCTGCTGTGTGGATTCTCTGAGTTTTCACACAGCAGGAGACACACACACACACACACACACACACACACACACACAGAGGGATCAAACCCCTGACCGTCTGTGACTGAGGACAAACGTTCACACCAACAGTGAGGAATTCTGTACAAGAATATAAAACGCTTTGATTTTCATGTCAGACTGTAAAGTCAGAGTGTTTTCCTCTCACCGTTTGGTTAGTCAGAGGTGGGCGGGGCCTGTTCTCCAAACAGGAAGCACTCTCATTGTGCGTCCAAAGGACAGGGATATCCTTGAGAAACACACAGATGAAGTCATGGGGGGGGGGGGACTGACGTCACCGGACCCCGGTTCATTATTGGAAACAGCTTTTCATAGAGAGACTTTTTCTCTGGTCATGTTTTTAACCTTTGACCTCTTGTGTCTTCACCTGCTTTCGCCAGGGCAGCGCTTCTACCCTCTGTCCCCTGATCTGCCCTCGCCCCCTCTCTTTCTCTAAGGTCAAACACCTACCTTGTTCTCGGGCGCCGTCCGCAGACTG